ATGAGTAGTAATTAATGCGTAGAAAATCCAACATGAGTACTAATTAATGAGTAAAAAATCCAATACGAGTACTAATTAATGAATAGAAAATCCAATATGAATATTAATTAACGAGTAGAAAATCCAATACGAGGAGTAGGTATTAACGAGTAAAAAGTCCAATAAGAGAGTACTAATGAATAAAAAGATTGAGATCGAGAGTACCGAAGAGTAAAAAGCTGTTTTCTCAAAATATACCTAAGATAAAGTAGTATAATATTGCAACCAACAGCAATAAGTGGTTGCAAATAGTTCCCCAGTTAGGAAACTTGATTTCGCCTCCATCGTTCGGAGGAAACTGATTACGATTACCGCATAACTGAATGTGCCCAATATTTCGAGAGAGGAAGTCGTTTATACATATTTGATCGGCGCCGCGGTTAACAAATTTACCTGCTAATTGAAACGTATTTAGACCGTATTGCAAGTTTCGTTCACGAAGCATCGCGCCGCAAGACGTAAGTGAAAATATTGTCATCCGCGTTCAACGAAATCTATGCAATCAATCGATTTGATTCTTTGAAAAAGGAATCGTTAAAAGTTCCTCGCCTTTTCTTCCGTTACTTAATTCATTAGAATATCGAGAAGTTAAACTTTGTGCTTCGTGGAATAATTTCTAACAATAGAATGAATTTCTAGGAAGCCGAGTTGCCAGTCTTCGCGATGAAAAACAAGAACCAAGCATAAGAAGAAGGAGAAGAAGAAGAAGAAGAAGAAGAAGGAGAAGAAAGTACTCTTTGCGAGACGCCGATATTTTTAGCGTCTTTGTTTGTACATATTCCGCCGTGTATTACATCATAACACTCGGGCGATGCGCCGCTCTTGTGTACACTATATCCGGTTCGTCTCGAATTTCATCGTGTTGAACCGATGCGTCGTTAATCCCCCTCGGAACATCGAAATTCGTCACATTCAGCTCCCTAATCGACTATTAAAAACAACATAGGCGGATTCTACGCGAAAAACTGCGTAAAAAATGTACAATAGATTTTTTTTCACATTATGCTTCGTTTTCGAGAAAATCAGTTTCGAAAACGCAGCAAGCGCTGGCGCTATCGAATGGGTCGTGGATCCGTGGATTCTGCGCGAAAAACTGCGTGAAAAATATAGAAATAGCATTTTTCGTCAGGTTCTGCATGAAAAACATAGAATAGCATTTTCTCATCCGACGTTTCGATTCCGAAAAAATCAAACTCGAAAATTCGGAACGTCCGCGTGCTACGGTTATTTGTTTCACGGTAGAATCGGACATAGACCGATTCTACGGGAAAAACTGGATCGAAATTATGGAATAGAATTTTTCCATACGACGCTTCGTTTTCAAGAAAATCAAGTTAAAAAATTCAGGTATTTTTTCCCTGCTGGAAACAGATGCCAATCGATTCTACAAGAAAAACTGAGTCGAAAGTGTGGAATAAAATATTTGCATAGAACGCCTCGTTTTCGAGATAATCGAGCTTGATTACCACGCGTGCTGCCGCACAGCTATATTACGTGCGGCACCATACTATACCCACTGCCGCACGCTCACCCGATCTTTAACCGCAATTATCTCCGCAACCAAGCCTCGTACGAAAAAACTTCCTTCTACATTTCCCGTTCAGTTTCTCTCGTAGAATCAGCCTGTCCCGTGAAAAATTCAAAACAGCGCGCGTATCGCGACGTTCGGGCTCGATTTATTTCAAAAAAAGAAAAAGGAAACGACGCTTCATACGAAAAAATCTCGTTCTACACATCCTCCGTAAATTCGCCACGCAGAACCAGCCTGTTACCGATTCTACCACGATACGCGAACCTATCCGACAGTGTTTCCCGAATCTCCGAACTAAGCTCTACGCGAACACCTGAGCGTTTCGCGTCGAATCGGCCTCCTTCTATATCATGGTACACCATGGGTGCTCTCGGTCGTGGCTAAGCCGACTCGCCGGCATGGATAATCCGGCGGGCTCTTGGCAGTGTAGCGCGTGAAAAGAATGTCCCCTCGATGTGTACACTGAATAGTCTCGTGCTCGGTGCTGGTACTCACCACCGGTAATCGGTCTCGGAGTCACGATCTTTACGGAAACTCTCTCGTGTAGGAGGCAGGCGTCAGACTTTAAACCACCGGGCGAAACCACTCTACACCGCACTAATACTGGATTCGAATGGCTGTTCTCGCGTCGTGCCCGTCCTAGTCATAGCCCGGGGTTTGCACACGGCACGTGTGCACCGGAACGTCAGTGCTGTTGACGACAGCGTCGCGGTGGCAGAGGGAGTGCGCTTAGCCGCCTTCCTTCCGCCAGCGGGGGTGTCACAACTATACTCAGCGATAGAAGACGATCGCCCGACGTGACGGCGAACCTGTCGATTCGATACCACAGATTTCACCGTCCACGACCGGCACGCGACGGTCACCGGTGACCGGCCGTAAACGACACCGATTATGTCGCCGACACCTCGCTAAACGACCAGTAAGTTTCTGTGGTCTATCGACGGATACCGATAACGTTCTATCCAACGAGTGTTTACAAATTGCTTTTTTTTCGTCAGGATTATCTTTATCGTTTCGTTGTCGCTTATCTCTTGGTTTCCACTGAAAAGTTTGTAATAATTTTCTCAAATCTTTGTATATAATGATCTTTCGTATTTTGAACTTGTCATGCTCGAAGCTTATGGGGAGTCTTTTCTCAGCACGTTTCGACTGGGAATTTCTGGGAATTTTGTCAAATGTTTGTCCTATAATTTTTCTTATTTTATGTTTGTTTTATTTGAAGATTATGGGGCGCTTTTATTTGTTAGAACGTCTCTATTGAAGTGTTTCTAGTAATTTTCTAACATTTTTATCCTGTAATCTTTCTTGTTCTGTGCTTATTATAGTTGAAGGTTATGGGGAATTTTATCTAAGCGCGTCTCCATTTGAGGGTTTTTAGTCGTTTTTTTAAATTTCTGTCCCATAATCTTTCTTATTGTTTACTTGTTACGTTTCGACTGGGAATTTTTAGTAATCTTTTCAAATAATCTGTTCCATATACTTTGTTTATTATATTTGAAGGTTGCGGGGAATGTTTTCTCAGTACGTTTCCACTGGATGGTTTCTAGCGATTTATTCAAATGTTTGTTTTGTAATCTTTCCTGTTCTTTATTTACTGTTAGGCTGTGGATTATATTAATTTTATTTTATAAAAATGATTCGCGGTAAAAGAAGATTGTAAAGGCATGAAAAGAATTTGAGAATAAGTTCACGTTATATACAACTTATTAAAATTATTGGAAAGGGGAAGGCATTTTCATGTGACACGTTTCTTACAATCAAATTGCAGAATAATTATTTTGCACAAAAATCTACAGTCAAGTTATTGTATTGTTCTCACTGAAACATTTTTAATAATTTTCTGAATTTTCTTTGTTTTATAATCTTCCTTATTCTTCTGTTATCATATTTCAAGTCTATGAGGAAGTATCCCTCAGCACGTTTCCACTTGGAATTTTCAGTAATTTTGTCAAATCTTCGTCTTAGATTTTGTTGTTCTTTTCTTATTATATTTGTAATGCGAATATTTGTGAATATTTTCTCACGAAGAATTTTACTGGCAAAGTAACTCTGCCGAATGTTTGTTTTATTTATTATGGAACGACCATTTGCACTCCTCTGTCGTGTTTATTTATAAAGTTCGACGTTGCTAGGGACGTGTTCTCACAGCGCATTTGTTCTGTAAATTTCTAGTAATTTTTTGAAATCTACGTATGAGATCTAAATGTAAATCAATGTTTGTACTCGGAATAGTCAGTAAATAGTAGTAGAAGATTTTTACAAAATGCATGAGAAAATAGAACATTCCATCAAGCGAAGCGCGAGATATTTATTCACAGTTTCGTGATGCCGTTAACCTAACCTAACCTTACCTAACCATTCATGTAGAATTCATCTTGGCAGAATATCGAAACTCGCTCAAGCGTTTCCAGATCAATTTCATTCTGATTTTATCTGGTCGAGCACCATAACTTCTCTATCACTGAAGTCAACGGAATTGCCAAGACTATAGTAACAGGGTAGCAATAATAATTTCAATAATTTCAACAGAATAATTTCAATGATGTCAACAGAATGATTTCAATAATCTCAAGAAAATAATGTCAATAATTTCAACAAAATAATTTCAATAATTTCAACAGAATAATTTCAATAATTTCAACAGAATAATTTCAATAACTTCAACAAAATAATTTCTATAATTTCAACAAAATAATTTCAATAATTTCAACAGAATAATTTCAATAACTTCAACAAAATAATTTCTATAATTTCAACAAAATAATTTCAATAATTTCAACAGAATAATTTCAATAACTTCAACAAAATAATTTCTATAATTTCAACAAAATAATTTCAATAATTTCAACAGAATAATTTCAATAACTTCAACAAAATAATTTCTATAATTTCAACAAAATAATTTCAATAATTTCAACAGAATAATTTCAATAACTTCAACAAAATAATTTCTATAATTTCAACAAAATAATTTCAATAATTTCAACAGAATAATTTCAATAACTTCAACAAAATAATTTCTATAATTTCAACAAAATAATTTCAATAATTTCAACAGAATAATTTCAATAACTTCAACAAAATAATTTCTATAATTTCAACAAAATAATTTCAATAATTTCAACAGAATAATTTCAATAACTTCAACAAAATAATTTCTATAATTTCAACAAAATAATTTCAATAATTTCAACAGAATAATTTCAATAACTTCAACAAAATAATTTCTATAATTTCAACAAAATAATTTCAATAATTTCAACAGAATAATTTCAATAACTTCAACAAAATAATTTCTATAATTTCAACAAAATAATTTCAATAATTTCAACAGAATAATTTCAATAACTTCAACAAAATAATTTCTATAATTTCAACAAAATAATTTCAATAATTTCAACAGAATAATTTCAATAACTTCAACAAAATAATTTCTATAATTTCAACAAAATAATTTCAATAATTTCAACAAAATAATTTCTACAATTTCAACAAAATAATTCCAATAATTTCAACAAAATAATTTCAATAATTTCAATAATTTTAACAAAACGGACAGTTCTAATAAACTTTTATTATAACTATAATTATCACAAATTTCACGTATTTTAGTAAAACCTATTGTTCCTTCTCGAGTCATCCGATCGCTTCAAGTTAATAAGCCGCCATGTTGGTTTTAGGGAGTCGGAAGAATTGCTTCGCTTTTTCGCCTTATCAAAATATGAAATTAATAATTGCAAAACATAATAACGATAAAATAAAAACTAAAAACCGTATATTTACGTAGAGAGTAATGGTTTAGTTGCAATTGTCAATTTGCGGGTACAATAAATGAGAAGCGAACGGACTAACGATCTGTTCAGCGTGGACACGTGATTGCCGCGGTGAAGATACGTCAATACCTTTATGAATCATACTCCGAATACCCACGGTACTCTAGCATTCGTTTATCTACATTGTACTACAGACGGGAATGTGTTTTCTGAGCGATGAACCAGCGGAGACAACACCGAAATAAATTTATTACTCACGCGTTTTGGACTAACTCCCGCGGCTTAATGGCATCCGCGAACAACCGGCAACGCGATACTATAATAATTCTTAGATTAACACCTTCGGGACTGGCAGTTGGTCAATATTAATCCAGCTAGGCTTGCCGCCCACACCAGAAAAAAGAAACAGTGCCTTAAATTTCATATTCCACATCAAACAATCTAAATCCGGAACGATTTCGTACAGACCTCTGCGGTGCAAATTCGCATAATCTTTACTCAATTCGATCTTTCGACTAACACCCGGTAAAACGGGTCTTCTCTTATATTTAACGTTTTAGTCGAAAGCAAATAATGCATTTCAATCTAAATATACATAATAATACGTCTCAATCTAAATATACATAATAATACATTTCAGTCGAAAGAGAAATTTGCACTGTTTCAATTGACAAGCAAATAATGTATTTCAATCCAAATATACGTAATAATACATCTGTACCGAAAGAGAAATTTTCACTGTTTCAATTGACAAGCAAATAATGTATTTCAATCTAAATATACATAATAATACATCTGAATCGCGCGCGCGCGCGAAAGAGAAATTTGCACTGATCCAATCGGCTTCCGTTTCCGCTATATTTGAAATGAAAAAGCGACGGGAATATGTGTTCCGCTTGAAACAATTTCCAGATTTTTCGGAACTGTAATTACGTATTGATTGTTTCGCTGAAGAAACGTTCTCGTAATCTAGAATTCAAAGTATAATATAAGCTTAAATCACAGAAAGAGAACCGAAAAGGACGGGAAATTGAAAATCCTGTCGCTGGATCGTGGAAAATTGACAATAAAAATCTCTTTTGAAACGTGATCTTTTTTTCGTAATAAAAAATCGGTTGTAAGTTGTAAGTTCGCGAAGAAAATTGGTTTCCTAACCTCGATCGGACCGAATCTTTTGAAAGAACATTTGAATGTTATTCAATCCAATGAATAATCTATTATTTTTGCTATTTGCAATATTAAATTTGAATCGAAAAAGGAAGTTTGCGCTATCTAGTCGACAGCAGCTTCTTTTCCGCCATGTTTAAGTAGGAAAAGTGCGGCAAATGTGTAGAATTGAAAATTATATCGCTGCCAGATCTTGTAAAACTGGCACTAAAAATCTGTTCTAGAACATTAATTGTTTAAATCTTGACTCGATTGAAGTGGCCATCTTGATTTACCAAGAAAAATTATTCTTTTAACCTCAATACGATCGAATGTTTAAAATATTATCTCAACGAACAATTTATTGATATAATAATGAACAACTAATTATAATAATAACAAACAATTTATTAAATAATAATATGTACGTCAGAGAATATTATAATAATCGACGAGAGCCTCTCCCTTCGACTTCTTCGCCATTTCTACATAAAAAATAGAATAGAAAATATATGGAATTTTAAATGCTGTCAACGAATCTTGTAAAATAGACAGTCCAAATCTGTCTTAAAACATTAATTGACCTAAAATGGACGCAACATTATCAAAATTAAAGATCGGTCGAAGGCACGAACGGCCATCTTGGTTCATCAAGAAAGATTATTTTTTCAACCTCAATACGACCGATGTTTAAAATATTATCTCAACGAACAATCTATTAATACAATAACAAACAATT